AAATTTAAAAATACTATGAGATGTTGCTACATACCTATCAGAATGGCCAAAATATAGTGACAACCAAATTCTGGCAAGGATGCAGAGAAAATGGATCATTTACTCACTACCAGTGAGAATGTAAAATTGTACAAACAACCTGGAAAACAGTTTGATGGTTTATTTAAAAACTAAACACACAACTACAATATAACTGAGCAATTGCTCTAATTTATCACAGATAAACAAAAACTTATGTTCCACAAAAGACTATGCAGGAATGGCCGCAGCAGTTTTATTTACAACAACCCTAAGCCAGAAATAATCCAGATGTCATTCAATGGGTGAATAGTTATAAATTCTGGCACATCCATACTGTGAAGTGCTACTCAGCAAAAATTATTGATATACATAACTTTGATTAATCTACAGAAAATTATGCTGAGTGAAAAAACATCAGTTCAAAAACATTTAATAGTGTATGATTATATTCATATAACATTCTTGAAATGACCAAAAAATAAATACAGAGAACAGAATAGAGGTTGCCAGGAGTTAAGGAGAGCCTGGGTACTGGAGCGAAGGGGTTGTGGTTATAAAAGGCCAACACTGGGAATCCTTACGTGATGGAACTCTTTTGTAACTTGACTGTATCGATGTCAATATTCTGATTAGGAAGCTGTAATGCAGTTATCAAAAAATGTTATGTTTGCAGGAAATTTGTCAAGAGCTCACAAGAACTCTCTGTTTTATTTCTTAACAACTACATGGGATTCAATACCCATCTCAAAATTAAGACTTTTTTCTTAAAATTATGCTTTTTTTGCTGGTATAATTGGCTAACTTTGTTAAAACAAGTTCTAAATCTCCTTAGCCAATATAATTTTATTACAAAAAATCTTGAAAGAGGAAGCTTTCTTGTAAATTCAGAAACAACAAAAATCAGGGAGTCATCAAAATACCCACTGACTTTTGCACCTTACTAATTTCATGACATCTAATGAATGAATAGAACTCTATCAAAGGTGTTTATTTGCCTCTGTCTTCACTTTAAAATATTTTATATATTTATATTTTGAACACAGAACACTATAATATGGTATTAAAGTGTACAGTTTTATATATATATGAGAGATGTTTATATATATAAAACTGTATACTTTAATATATATATTAAACATATATATATAAAACATATATATATATATCTTCCTGTCCTTTTTCCCTAGAATATACTGTATCATCTCTACCTCTCAATAAGTAATCAAAGTCTTCCATAAATATTTTCTGTATATTCATGCTTATATATATATATGTGTGTGTGTGTGTACACACACTTAAACACAAGACATATATTCAAGCTAATATGTGTTTTCTCCCCACCAGCCCCCTAATCTACTTCTTTTTACACTATTACTATATGCATAATTCTACATCTTAGTTTCTTACTCAAATAAATTCTTCAAAACTTTTTATCTCAATGTAGTAGCTTCATTAAAAAAATCGATATGATATTCCTTGGTATAGGTACATCATATATTTAGATCATTGCTACTAAAATGTTTCAACAAATTACTCTGTATATCTTCCATCTCCATATTTGTAGAATAAATTCCTAGAACTGGAACAGCTTGATCAAGATATGAGCTTTTATAATTTTGATAAATATTGCAAAACAGCCCTTTATAAAAATTGTGTCCATTTGCACTATACCAGCAATGTATGAGAGTGCCTGCTTTCTTTTACCTTCTTCTATATAATAAGTAATCTCTTTGATCTTTGCCAATCGGATAGGTGAAAAGTTCCTAGAGTATGCATTCTATCTAAAAATAAAAATCAATTAATCTTATGTGAAAAGATACCTTAGCAGATTAATCACAAGGAAATATAGTGACCTTCAAGGCTGAACACAATTTACAACTCTGCCCTGTGTCAAGAGACATTATCCATTTGAAATTGCCCTATATCCCAGTCTATTCTTAGGGCTTGTTGTTCACAGAAAAAGAGATGATTACTACTGGTCAAAGTTATTATTTAAGCAGACAAATGTATCAAAATTTTTTTACTAAAGACTGCCAGAAGAGTGGTGTTATAAGCAAAGTGGAAATGAATCTAAAGATTGCTGCTATGTAACCTTGAATGTTGTTCATGCATCCAACTATGCATGTGGATTTTTATTAACACCATCTTCTGAGAAACCATTTCAAAATCTACTCTGCATAGGAATATATTAGTATATCCTATCATGCATATGGATGTAGTAATAAGAATTAACATACTCTTCCGCAAGGTGTGAGGTCAATTGAGAAGTGAAAGAAAAGTTTTTAGGATCTTTTGTTAGCCACCAAGGTCTCTTTTGAGTCTGCCATTCTAAGTAAATGATTCAATTACCTAGATGATATAACCCCAGAGTTTAAAGGAATGCAAATATTGTAACTATTCACATACAAATTTTATTTTATGACAGAAGAAGCATATTTATAATTTGAACTATGATCACTGGGTAAGGAAATAACTATGAATATGGACTTTAGATTTTAGTAACTATTCTGTCTTATTTTAAATGCTTCAGTAGACAAGTAAGTCATCTTATTTGATTATTGGTGTCTCTCATAACTGTTATCCAGTTTTAAGATTCTGCATTATTTCATATTTATTGAGTGATAGAGTACTTAGCTCCTAGAAACATATATAAATACCTTTCTTAATTCCATTAAAATACATCTTGAGTTAACTATACTAGAATATAAAATAATTTTTAAATCAAGTATCTAATGTGCAATCAGAAAAAAGAAAAGCTTATCAACAGTAAAATATTATCTTTGTTAAAAATTCTATTAATTCCTCTCATCCTAAATAAAAACACAGACTGAAAACTTTATTTGGAGAAAAATGGTTCATAAATTCCATTTCAAATTTGTTGGGATATGTTTTACTCCAACAAATATATATGGATCATTGATGATGCCAATAGAAAACGCAACAACGCAGAAAAATAAAATCGCCTGATTTTGATAGTCAAATATATTGAATTTAATATGAGAGAAAAAAAATACATATTGTTTGTTAGTCCAAACTGCACCATGTTATAAGCTCCCTGCTATTTTGCAAACCTTGGTCAAAGCAAAACATTTCACAGGGGGTTCCAGTTGTGAGAAACATGCCGCTAACCACCTGACCACAAGGCAGACAAAGGCCTAATTAAAGAAACATCCCTATCATATCTTGCTGGACAAAGGTCCAAGGAACACCGGAACATCAGAACGACATCCCACTGCAACAAGGGCAGCAATCCACACTGCTCTGACTCCTTCTGCCCGTACCTATAAATTGCCCCAGCCTGTAACCGGTAGTGGGCTCTGGCATTAGGCTGGTTCCCCACTTCTGTAGGTTTTATGCTGGACATAAAGCCTGCATTTGCTGTTGAGCCGCCCTCTTTCTGCGTGTGTCTTTCTTTAACCCTCACCTTCCCTTCAAAACCTAACACTGTTCAAAGAAAATTTAGTTCATCATTAAGTATTTATTAAGAACATTCAAGACAAGCCCAGTACTAGGTGCCTAAGACATAAGCAGGTCTGCATTTCAGCACTGTTCTTGCAGAAATGAGGCTGGGTGAGTGAGGGGCTTGATGGGGCTGTGTCTGCAGAGAATAATTCCTCAAAGCGAACACTTTGTTGCTGGTATCCTGGAAAAGCAATCAGGCATTGACAGGTAGAAAATAGTTTTTACAGAATGGGCGACGAGGAGCCCAAAGGCAGCATATAAAGCAAATCCTTCCCTTCTCCCATACTTCTTAAGTAATGAACCGCAAGGATGGTGCAGACTAAGACTGGGTCTACCTTTAAGATCTGGAGGGGAAAATGGCAAGACCAGAAGAAACGGTCGCAGTCTCATTTGCATAAGCACCCAAACACTGCTCACGTCACTGTGCCGGAGTCCGGACCCCGCCCCGTCTTACTCCAGCCTTTCCCGGCGAGGGAGGAGGATGGAAAGGGAAAGCGGTACGCTGGTGAGCGCGACCCTAAGGGCTTTGCTTTCCTCAAATGTGTATCAAAGGCTGCTCCTCAGCTCAGGGAAAATAATTCCCGCTCCCTCAGCCTGAGCCACTGGGTGGGTCTTGTCTGCCCTCGGAACGACTCGGGCGTCTTGATTCATTCTTATGGATTAGGCTGGTGTGCTACGTTACAGTGCAAGGATTTCCCTGTACTCAATACAGTCTTCTTCCCGGCCACACACAGACCAGCCCAGTGAAAGAAAGGTAGAAACGGTCTGGGTTTCTAACTGCTTCCTATCTTCTTAAAATCCCAGCAGCACCACCCTCACCGCCACACTCTCGAATTCCAGGATGCGCAGAAACACAGGAGCAGTGATTTCTCCAACAGCCACGTGCCTTGCGCACGGCGAAAGGCCCCCTTTCGGGCCATTTATCACAGGATACCTCAAGCAAAAGGGAACTGTGGTCACGTGCAAACACTCTGTCCTCGGAAGTCGCCTTCTGCCTTGGCAAAAGCGAACGGAAGCTAATGAGTAATAAGGCTCTGCTCTCCCAGCCCCATCGCCCACCTGCACAAGATTTAGCTTCCAATTCACCTCGCGCCACTCTCTGTCCCGACCCTCCCAACTTTCCTCTCGGACTTCCCCGTGTCGGACCCCACCCTTCAACCCGGACTTGACTTGGAAACGAGTAGGTCTCTGGGGATGCCGTGGGCAATTTCCACGACGGGAAGAAAGGATGGCGGCACGTTTCGACCCATGTGCTTCCCCTTACATGTGCAACCTGTCGCCACCCCCCACCCTGATTGTGCAGAAGTGTAGAGTTAGAAGGTTGCTCGCCCAGCCCAGCTTCTCCCTCCCAGGGCTTTTTGAGCTGCCCTCCCTCCTCCCAGCCCAGGACGCAGCGAGTCCTTCCCGGCATCCATCCATCAATTCGTTCCCAGTGCTGGTGCCCAGGCTCCTGGGTGGTTAATGGCGAGCCCCACCTCACCCCCAATTGTGCCCTTAGCGTAGGAGCTTGCCATTACCGTCAGGGTGTCTTGACCAAGCGCCTCTTGCTGCCTCCACGTCCCGGCAGGAGCAGCCCCACTCGCGAAAGGGTAGGGTCCAGGTGGCTGTGACGGAGGCCGAAGAGGAGCTATTTGTAGCGAAGCAGCTTCTTGCCTAGGCTGGGCCCCGGAGCTGGGTTTTGGGGGTCTCTGCCCTGCAGGCTAGCAAGGAGAGACTCGTGAGTGCCTGTGTGTCTGCCAGGGAAACAGCACGGGATACAGGCGCGCGAGTGCGGGTGCGCGTGTGCATGCGTGTGTGCGCGCGCGCGCGTGTGTATATGTGTGAGGGTGTGACGGAGGCGCCCACGTGCCCGGCCCACCCGTGCTGCGGCCGCCTACAGGCTGCAGAGGAGAAGGGTAGGCAGTGGGCGGCGGCGGGGCGCGGAGGGGTAGCCTGGAGCCTAGGCCGGGCGCTGCAGCTCCCCGCGGCAAAACCCAGTGATGCAGCGACCACTGCGGCTGCCCAGCGGCGTCTTCCCAGCGGCGGGATGCAACTGAGGAAGCCCGCTCCAAAGCAAAACAAAACAAATTCCTCCAGCCATCCCATCTTCCCCCAACCCACTCAGCCGAAAGAATGGATACTAGTTGCCCGCCCCTGGCTTTTGTCTCGGTGAGAATGATAGGCATGGTCCTACCTGGCACGGTCTGAATATTCTCTAAGAGTCAGTAATGGGACTAGAAGAAATGGGTGACCCAAAGAACCCTTTTCCTATCTCCCCAAGCCGGCCATGTATATCTCTTGCAAAAGAAAAAGCCTCTGGGCATTGGCTTCTCCCTCAGGCGGTGGCTGATAGCGCTCAGTGATTCTCGCCAGGTTATGAAAGGCCATTTTAGAAAGCTTGTTCCCACCCCCCATCCTGTGCTGGTGCCTCAGCAGCTGAATCTTTTCCAAGGGGTCTCATTAAAAGATGAAGTCTGACTTACCTCTGCTGACAATCAAGGCATGGTTATAATTAAGCCACGTGGAGAATTCCTAAAATATATATTTCTGAACACAAAGCTTAGCCTCCTTTTGAAAATGGCTGAACCGTCCCCTAAACAGTGCATATGCCCTAGGGATGAAAATTTCCGTCCTTGAAACGTTCAAAATTGGAAAGAAATGCAAAATGAACCTAGAACGTAGATAGAAACGTTCAGTAACTTAGCAAAGTACATTTTTCACTTCCAGATGATTAGTATTGCCATTAAAAAATACTAATGTGCACTTTTAGGCCTTCCAACAATTCCTTAGATTTTTACGGTTGGTATCCAATTAAGATTGAATTAAATAATAAGGCCATTGCAGACAGGTTTTTCATGCAGTGAAAAATCTCTTGGAAAGAAATCACAAGACCTAAATTTCAGGTCAGAACATTGCTACTAATCCTTAGCTTTCATAGCAGCCAAGAGAGCTTTTTCTCAGCCTCTCTTCCAATCCTAACTTTGAAAAATTAAAAGTTAAGAAATTAAATTAGATTTGATCCCCTGACATTTCTCCCCTGCCATGAGTGAATAAATGCTCTTTGATAAATGCACCACAGGAAAAAAATAAAACCAGCCAAAATAAACCTTTTCTAGAACTTTTTTTTTTTTTGCTTTTTGCTTTTTACTTCACATATTGGTGACCGGCAAATATTTATGTTGGTATATATCATTTTTTATATAAAGAAACTAAAATACAGTACCAACATTATCAATAATAACTGGGAAAATTAAGAAAATAAGGAGAGCTGTGTCTGGCATAATCAGGATTAGGTTTATCTGTGAGAAACAAAGTTAAATATATGTTCACAGAAAGAGTTTACAGTAGTACCAAGAAGTACTTAAATTATTTCCCTCTCACGCTTTTTCACTAATGTCTGATACCTAATTCCAATGCATATGCATAGGTCACAAAATATTTGTAGAGTGATGCCCTCCGTAATGACTGATACTAATTTATGTCTCAATGCCAATGAAGAGAAGTAGGAGAAAGAAACTATTGTTTTAAGCTTCTCACTAAGCACCTGGGGCTTTATAATATCTTATTTAATCCTCTCAACTAATTAATGAGGTGATTTTTCTTAATTTAGAGATTAGAAAGAGGAGATACTCAAAAAAAAATTGCAAAAAGTCACACAACTTGTTCAATAACCGAATGGAGAAATAAATTCAGATCTACTGGCTTTAGAGTTCATGTGTGTTTATACTATCTTGTAATCCTTTAACAAATTTACAGATTTTTAACAGGAGGAAAGAGTAGAATATCAACACAAGTGGTAGGAAACTTTGAAAACAATAAGTAGAGGAGGAATGGAGAGACCCCAAAAAAAGTCTGGAATCCCAGACAAAGGTAAAATGTATCCATTTTTAAAATTTAACAGCAATGATTCTTCAAAGATTTAAAATTCAGTGGCTAATATTTTTTAGGCTAATGATTATAAAGTGCTTTCTTTGTCACAGTAGGGCAAAATGGCCAACATGATATTGGTGTGGGAGAAAGGGGCCGCACACAGAAGGTAAAAACAGAACTTGGAAGAATTAACTACAAGTTAAGGGAGACAACTGCTTCTACCCACAGTGCATTTAATAATATTAACAAGAATTGATTGATATTATTATGTCTTTGCAATATACAGAATACTTTATATATTTTATGAATCTATAGTTCTTAATTCTTCCACCAAGCCTGTGATGTAGGTATAGTTATAACCAAACATTGCCAAAGGAAAAACTAATTCTTTGATTGTCCACAGTCATACAGTCAGAAGGCATCTGTTAGATGTTGTAAAAATAAAAACCTGCCCCTTTCTAAATCACTTTCTGAAATTAATACCTACTTTTAAGCAATTAATATTGCTTATTATTTTTTAAAATTGATAAAAGATCACATGAAGGAAAAGAGTTATTCTCTTTGACTAGAGGAGGGAAGGAATCTAACTCACTAAGACTTTCTACCTTAGAATTTCTTAAACAAAATCGCTTAGAATGAAAATATTATGTAAAAACTTCCAAAGATACAGCACTAGAGTTCAGAAAAGTAATTCAAAAATTTACTAAAACATGATTTTAAGACCACAATACTAAAGAAAACATTGAAATCAATTCACATCATAAGATTACATTAATTCATTTGCTTATATTGCTATATGTGCAGTATGGTATATTGCAAGGATCTTTTTTTTGCATTGTAATACAATTTTTTTATTCTAATGTCCTCCATGCCAAATGTTGCTTGAAATATGGTCTCCAAAATTTATGAAACCAAAGCCTGCACAAGCCCAAAATATCCACTGACTATTCCGTTCTGTTCATCCTACTGATGAAGAGCTGAGAGGTAGATCCAAGGAAAGTAGGTTTTCTGATTTCTCTGTGGATAGAGGATAGGTTAACTGAATTTACAAATGTCAAAGTAATCAAATCAATTTTTTTAACTAATTGGCTAAGATAGTAAAGCATTCAAGACAATGTAGAAAATGATTGAATTTTACTGTTTCTGTACTTTGAAGATAAAGCCTAAACGGCGCTGGCTAGTATAAACACCAACACCGCTGTCATTTTGTTGACAGAGAAATGCACCCCCTACCTCTGTGAATTGATTATAATCACTAAGTTTTTAAGTTGCTCTTTTATTATAACTTTTAATGTAATAGCAGACTATGTCTCTAAAACATTTTATTTATGTCTGGTACTATGCTCAGCATTAATCTATATAGCTTTTAAATTATTAAAAGCATTAATCTATATGGTTTTAAATATCCAAAACCAAAATATTTAATGGTATTTATTTTGAATACAGTATGTGAGCTGCCTTTTCTTTTACTTGCTGCACAATCTCATTGATATATAGAGATTCTATAGTCTCCATGATTTTTATACTTATTTCTAAAATATAGTTTGAATACAAAAGTGATGCTTGCTCATTGAATACATTTCAATCTATGAACTTGTACGTGGTGAAAAGTTAAGGCCCCTGTATTTATGTTCTCCTGATTTTGAGGAGGGTCCCAGGAAAGAGGGTAGAGTTAGATTTTAAATAGAATGGTCAGGGCAGGTCTCATGGAGATGTTATTGGTGCAAAGACATAAGAATTTGCAGGAATTAGCCTTGTAGGTATTAGGAGATGGGGGTGAGTCCTAGGTAGAGGTCAGTGAAAAGGGTCCTTTTGGTCAGTTTTAAAAGATCTTAGGATCAGTGAATAGACCCTAAAAGAATTCAACTGGCATATTTGAGGAAGAGAAAGGATACCCAGATATTGCAAATATGTCTTACTCTATAAAGACAAGCTTATAGTTTTTATAATTTAATTTATTTTATAAAATTTATATTCATAGATTTTCTGTTACTGAACCATGTTTGCATCCCTGGGATAAATCCTACTTGATTATGAGATACTATTCTTCTTCATATGAATTGATGGACCCAACTTTTTCATATTTATAGGGTTTATCTATATACATAAATGTAATTGATAAGCGATTTATATTCTCCTTACAAAGTTATTCTAGCATTGTAAAATGAGATCCAAAACTTACACTTCTAGACTCTCAAATACCCTTTTATGAGATAGACATTGTTTCTAACCCACCTGATAAATTAAGGAAAATAGGAAAGGGGTAAGACAAAAATATTCTAATTATGCTTTTTTTTTTTTTTTTTTTTTTTTTTTTTTTTTTTTTTTTTTTTTTTTTTTTTTTTTTTTTTGAGGCAGGGTCTGGTCTGGCTGTTTCATCCAGACTGAAATGCAGTCTTGCAATCACAGTTCACTGCAGCCCCAACCTCCCAGGCTCAAGTGATCCTCACACCCCAGGTTCCCAGGTAGCTGAGACTACAGGTGCAGGTCACCATGCTTAATTTTTTTTTAATATTTACTTTTTTAGAGACAGGGTCTCACCATGTTGTCCAGGTTGGTCTCAAACTCCTGGGCTGGAGCGATCCTTCCATCTTGGCTTCTCAAAGTGCCAAGATCACACTTGTGAACCACAGTGCCCAGCAATATACTTTATTATTTATTCAGTTTTTCTATTGGTCTATTCAGGTTAACTATGTCTTCTCAAGTAAACAAGTAAATGTTGGCAATTCATATCTCTTAAATTGTTCATTTCACTTAATTTTTAAAAGTGCTTCAATAATTTTCTATACTATTTTCTTTTGAATGTTAAATCCTAGATTATAGATATACACACTTCTCCATAAGGTTTGTTTCAAACTTTTCTTCATTTCTATTTTAATCAGTTAAATGTTAAACATTATCTATAAGTCTTTTCAAAGAAACAACTATTGATATTATTGGTGTTGTAATTTTTTATTTTCTGTAATTTTCTTTTCTTGTGTTATTTATATATTTCTTCTTTCTTGGAGT